AGAGCGGTTTTGGAAAGCCGTGCTGCTGAGAGGTGAAACGATGCCCTGTGCGGGGAAGTGCCATCGGGGTAGGGGACCGTGATGCTCAGTTCCTTTTCTGAGCCCCCTCCGCCGTCTGAAAGGCAGGAGGAGGTCGGGGTGCTGGGATCAGGCAGGGACCCCACCAACCCCTCCTGGGAGGTTCGCTGGGCGAGGAACAGAACAACCAGAAAGGATTCGTGGAAGGTGGTTCTGCCGGGGTCTCCGCTCCCTAAAGGGCAGAGGTGGCTCGGGGAAGCCCTTCCCGTCCCTTTGTCAGGGTGTTTCACTCTCTAAATATTAATCGGACAGATTTTTATCATTGTTAAATGAATGAATTGATGGTACCACGCTGCGGTAGGGTGGGGATCTGTGTGCTTGGAGTTTCCTGGCGCCTTGCCTGCCAGCCAGGATGTGCCGCCGCCGGTCCCTTCGTACCTCTTGTGGGTTCCTCGGCCGTTGGCAGGTGCACGCAGGCGTCCTTGGTGGTTTTCTTTCCATTGAAGCAGAATACCGGGGGAGATAAACGCAGCTGTTCAGCTGAGCTCTCTTGACTAATCCTTTTCCGAACGTTGCACCATGACTCTGCATCCAAGCGCCTCACGAGTTTGCAGAAGTCCAGGTGACCTGAGTTCTGCTGCTTCTTGGAAAAGTCGAGATGCGTCAGCAAGAGGCTGATGAGGTCCATGGTAGGAAAACTGAGCTCAGCTCTCTGCCCCCAGCAGAGGAAAGGCGCCGCTGCCGCCCCAGGGCTGCTCTGAGGGCCCGGGCTGTGCTCCAGGTCCGTATTTGAGACCCTTCGGTGTCCCCGCACAGAGATGCTCGAGCGGCCGTGCACTGAGCGTGGTGTGGGCTGGCTCCTGCGTCAGCCTGGTCCCTTACCTGCTTTTGTTCTGAGCAAGCAAAGCCTTGCCCGCTGATGGTTGCTGGCCCCAGTTTATCTCGAGAGGTGGTGCCGGTGGTGATGCTATGCTGGGATAAAACCTTGTTTTTTCCAAGTCGCAATCCCACTGCTCAGCACACCGAGCTCGGGACGGCAGAGCCCTGCCTGGGGCAGGGGGCCGGGGTCCCAGGAGAGGCCACAGGGAGCTCGTGGCCCAGGAGCCGGCGGGGTCTGTGTGGCAGGCGGTGGCCCGGTGTGCGGATCCCAGCAGCTCTCATGCCCTTTTCCCAGCTGGAGACAGCAACCTCCAGCACCCATGGGTGCAGCACCAAACCTGTGGGATTTCCGTGCGTTCCGATGTGGTTTCTGTGCAGGTGCGTTTGCTTCTCTTCCACTGACTGGAACGTTTAAAAACAGTAAAAAAGCAAAACATTTTTTTCTCAGCTGGCTATGTGGGAGCGGTTGTGGCTTCTCCCTTCTCTGCCTTGCGGCACCCTTCCTGGCAGGAGAAGCGGTGCCTGGGAGGAGATGCAAAGGCAGGTTTTCAGGTACAGGCTTTGCTGTGCTCTCCACGGACTTGGCAAGGAGCTCTCCTGCCTTTACACCACAGAGAAGGTAAATTCTGTGCTTTTTGCTCCTTCCCCTGCCCTTGTACCAAAGCGGGTACAGCTGGAGCAGAGGGAGGGCGAGCTCTCCAGCGGGTGCCCTCCTGGCACCTAAAGCACGTTGCAGGGATGTCCTGGGAGTGTCTGGCCTTGGGAGGGAGTCTGTTGAGACGGGGCAGAAGGATGGACATGGGTCTGATGGGTTGAAGCAGGGGCAGGGCAGGGTGCTGGGAAAGGCACTGAGCAGCCTAAGGCTGAGTTCCTTTTCCAGGGAAATCCTTGGGGTCTGAGACTTATGGCAAAGTGTCACCTATAAGATCTTTAAGTGCCACCTTCCTCAGCTGCTGGCTGCTGTTATCCCCCAAAAGCTGCCTGTCAGGGTTTTAGTGTTACAGTTGGAGTTGGGGTTATGCTTGGTGCTCTTGAAGGGAGAAAGTTGAAGCTCTGAGCTGGCTGGGGGAACGCATCCCCTTCCCTACTAACACTCGGGGCTGGGTTAGGGGGGTTCATGCCCTGGGGGGAGCCAAGAGGTAGGATGGGGTCTCGCACCCCAGCCCCCGGGCAGAGCTGGGGGTTGTTCTCGGCTGGAGCATCGGGGCTGTGCTGGGGGGCAAACAGCGAGGGAGAAGTGCCGGTACTGGGAAGTTATTTAACGTTTACAGCCAGGGAACAGGAGCGTTCGCGGGGGAATTTCCCTGCCCTTCCCCACCCGAAAAAAAAGAAAAAAAGAAAAAAATAAAAAGAAAAATTAATTAACCCTCACCATCCCCCTGTAACCCTT